ACATCCAATGTTATGGCCTGTCAACGCCGCTCTCATTCCTTCCTGTTACAGCCGAACTATCTTTTGTCCTGTTCACCCTCCTTACTTCCTTGTCAACCCTCTCCTTCTTTAACGGACCTCATTCATCTCTCTGTCCATCTCACGTGCTTGCCCTCGTGTACCCACGACTCCCCGTCCTCACCTGTCACACACGCTTTCCATTCCGGTGCACTACCAATCGCGCCCTTGCTCAAAGATCCCCGTCGAATGAATACGCCTGACCGGTAAGAAATGCGTTGAGATTAACCCCGAGGTGTTAAAGAGTCAATTTCCGACCTGATGCATCGTGCTACACGTAAAAGAAATTACACGGTACCACCTCGTGCCGCGTCATGACGAATCAATCCACTATATAGGCAAGGGAACTGAGCAAACAACTAATTGGGGTAATAAAGTGTGACGATTTTTCCGCGTCGTATCTGGTTCAACCATTTGGCTGAGCAAATCAACGAGAGGCCGAAGGTATTGCGCCGTAAGCTTTTACCGGTGATTTGTGCCTTCTATAATATTCGCTGGTTACAGAATCGAACTATAGTAGGGACTAGGGAGGCAGTAGCAGCAGCAACGCAGACATCAAGTGAATAAAGCACAGATGCCGCAGAGATGAGTATTAGCAAGCAGCAGTGAAGCACGGCGTAGCAGACAATATAGTAGCAGTAGAAGCAGGAGCGCCGTGAATAGCATGCATAGCAAGTAGAGTAGTATAAGTGAAGGCCAGCACAGCAGCTAGCAGTGGTAAGCAGTAGCAGCTCGGCAGCAATAGCAGCTATCGCAAAATGCCTGACTAAACATAGGGACGGAGGTGATGAGGTAAGACGGCGGGGAGAGGAGGAAAGAGGAGAGGAGGAGGAGGAGGAAGAGAGCGGCGGCAGAGGTTGTGGAGAGGAGGCCCACAGAGGAGGAGGGAGGACAGCAAGGCATCATATCACGTAAGAAGAGATATCGAACATTGTGAAGAGAATACAAGCACCGTAATATTATTCTAGGTGACGACATGCCTGGATTAGGCTAAGCTTCAATTCATGGCAATACAACTGCTTGTGATTCACTGGGTGTGTAAACATAGCCTCAATTTATATTGGATTCAAAGCCCCGCTTTCATTGAACAGTGAAACTATATGCGAGTATTGTACTTGGGTGGTGGTGGTGGTAGTGTAGATGTTCGTGGTGTGTTAGTCTGTAGTGTTCCTTGGCGGTATTACTGAAGAATTATAATTAATTGGCATGACTGATGAGGCTCTTCAAATATTGGCTCTTGTTATCTTCTCGCCATGTCCCCCTTATTGCTTTCTTCCTCATGCGCGAATACCTACCTCTCTACTATCAACTCTCTCATACGCCATACGATCGGCTTTTTCTATCTTTATTAGTTTCTGGTCTCCTCGTGTTGTGGGGCGCTTATTGCGCTGCGTGCTTCACTGCCTCGTTGTTCCTACCGCATTGAGATCATTCATTCCATGTTCCTCGGCTCGCATTCTTTGCTTGGAGTACCCAGGGATATGGCTCTGCCTGTTACCCAGCATGGACTAGTGCCGTGTATACATGAACTATTGCGATGTGTATCCATGATACTGCCGGTGTTCGCATGATCTGCCGGTATTATGGACGTATGGCGATGTATCATTGACTGCAGTCGTGTATCCATATGTGACACCACGTGTATCTGTGTATGCCATACTAGTTAAGTATCTCTAACTACTGCCAATGTATCCATGAATACTGCTCTGAACATGAACTACTGCCTGTAATCTATGACTATCCTGCGTGTATCCATGACTACTGCTCCGCGTATCATCGGTACTACTGCCATGGCAAAAATTCCGCTATGGAAAAATACGCAGGTGTATGTCCATGACTACTCGGTGTATCTTGACATGCCGCAGTATCTATGACTAGCTGGCGTGTGATCCAGACTACTGCGCGTTCTATTGATAACTGCGTGTATCCGATGACTATCGCGGGTATATCGCCAGCGATTACTGCGGGTATCCATGACTCTGGCGCTGTATTCCATCTGACTACTGCCGGTGTATCATTGACTATCTTCACTTGTATTATATTCTATAATCTACTGCGCGTGTATCCATAACTACTCCTGTACTCCATGACTACTGCTCTGTATCTCATTGACTACTGCCGCGTATCATGACTTACTGCATGTATCCGAATGAGCTACTTGCCTTGTATCCATGACTACTGCCCTGTATCCATGACTACTGTCGTGTATCCATGACTATTGCCGTGTATCCATGAGAGCACAGATGTTTCAATTTAGCACCTATCTGTTGCGCATTCTTGGCTAGTGTTGATGACTGGAACACAGAGTGGCGGCCCGCGCTAATCGCTATTTCTTCTGAGTAATGCCTCATTAATTCCCACACTAAGAGATGCAAATACTGTTCTATCAGGTTATGCAATAATTCACCCATCCCTCCTATTTCGCACCCACCCGCCGGCACCCACAGACACCATTGGACATGTTTGTAGCGCAGAATTTAAGTTCGTGATGGAGAGGTGGTCTCACATGCTTAGGCCACACATCATGGATTCATGTTTATAGACTATAGTGACTGCTACCGCTTGAATCTCTCATAAAGACTCCTGCCGTTTGCGCTCACGTAGTTGTAATGCAGCCACTGCATCCAGAGAGACATGATACAGATTGTGCGTGGCACAGCTTGGTGCTGTGATGCCTAAGCCTGCGACGCAGATGAGAGCGCAGGTTCGGCGAGATACGTGCGGCGCATGCGATCGAGCTGGGGATGTTGCAAGTATTGGAGCTAACTGTCCGCAGTGGAGCGTGCCGCACAATTCGAGGGCT